TTTATGTGAAATACTTTTTAAAGAATCAATACATATACACAAAATTTACAATAGTGGTTACCAGGTTTGAAACAGTAGAAGGAAAATGGGAAAAAGCAGATAAAAAAATTTTAAGTGATAAACATGTAGGATGAAACAATGTAAAATATGAGTATTACATTTCATTGTTTTTGAGAATAGTGATTATGTTCAATATTTTGCTAAATGGACAGATTATAACAGTTCTAACAATAAGGGAAAATTAATAACTATATGATATGATAGATTTTGATTTTTTGATATAAAATCATTTTACCTTATCTATATCTACCTAATAGCATGTTATAACCCTAAAATCAACACACTAAAATTTATTTTAAAATTAAAAAACAAAATAAGAAGCATCCTGAGCTCTGGGTCAAGGAGGATGGACTGGAAGAAATAATGGGAACTTACAGAGGTATAAAAGTGTTTTGTGTCTTGATTTGTTTGGGGGTCATGTAGCTATATTCCTTTTTTATACTCATTGAACTGTATACTTTGATCTGTGCTCATTATTATCATTTAATTATACATGAGTTAAAATAATTAAACACTATAGCCCTGAAAATGAAAATATTATTTTCACTGAAAGAGTTAAGTAGAAACACATGCCATAAAATTAATAAAATACATGTTGTGAGCTCAGGAAATAAAGTCTAAGAGTCTAATTAGAAACCTCCACAGAGAGACAGTATCAGAGCCAAGGCAAAGGGGAAGAAATGGAAAGATAAGGGTTGCTAATGGAGGACATGTTGAAAGAAATCACAGAAAGATAGTCTATATCAAACCTTAAATATGCATGGATGTGGCTTTATCTGATCACAAAACTAATCACCCAGCTTGCCAAAGTTGAAAATGATGGAAACAATACATAAGTGTCGTGACTCAAAAGTAATAAGTAGAGATTTAGCMCAGGGTTGACTGAAAAAAGAATCAGCTGTATTCTTCCATGAAAACACTCATTCACTAAACATTTATTAAGCTAAGGCAATATACACAGTCCTGAAAAAATGAAAGGGGAGAGAGATTACAGGGGTAATTTATTTTATTCTTCTAATAATATCTAGACAAAGATTGTAAGGTTTAGGGGGAAATGTCCAAAACGTAGGATYCTTTTAGTCTTTATCAGATGCACTGATGAAAGAAATTGAGATCCCTCCCCATTACTGTTTTCAGTCTTCTGGTGTATAAAAAAAAATGTTGGTCAAAAGTTCAAAAGTAGAAGCAGTCCTGGACCCYTGAGCTGATGAGTCTCATAAGCAAATGAGGTAAAGCATCCGGGTAAGGCAGGTAGAGAGACACAGTAATCAGTGTTTAACAGGCCCTGTCACACTGGAGATATGGACAATTATTATCTCCTGATTTAAAACTAGGTAACCAACTAATCCAGGTTCTGAGAGTCTCCTATACTGATAGGGCCAAGAAGGCTCTCAGAAGCACAGGTGTTTGATCAAAGAAAAGGCTCTTGCGAGTTGCCCCAGATTGTTGCTTACTCTCCAAGGTATCCTGATGAAACCCTGCTTCCAGAGTCACCCTCATCAGGGGTGTCCTGCATGGCCCTCTGTAGAASCAGCTTGAGGGTGCTCTGCTTCCATCGCTGCTGCCTAAAGGAGCCAACAAAGAAGTAAATTATGGGGTTGGCGCAGCTGTTAACACAGGACAGAACAATTGTCACCCAATATAATCCACAAGGAATAGCATCATGTCTCAGGATCCAGACTAAGAAGAACCAATAGATCCCAAAAGGCAGGCCAAAGGAGAGGAAAACCAGAACCGTGAGCCCAATGGTCACATACAGCCTGGTCAGTGGCACCCTCTGTGAGCCACAAAGGATCTTGACAATCAGGGTTAGGCTGGACCCTGAGAGGGTGACAAATAAAACCATCAGCCAGGCGGAAGTGATGAAATCTAATGTTTGACACCAATCATTGTTATACTCTGTACCCAGGAAGCTACAGTACTTCCCTTCCAAGATGCTCAAGGACAGGGACAGGACCCAGATTAAGGCACACATGACAGCTGGTGTGTGTCTCCAGCGGTGACAGCGGTACCAGATGGGCCACAGGACAGACATGCAGCGCTCAGTGCTCATGGCACTGAGCATGCTTAACCCTGCAAGATAGGCAAAGTTTGACACAACCATGAAGAATGTGGGAACATCGATGGAGTTGGAATGGAAGAAGTTAATGATTTTCCACAGGGAGTCTATGATCTGGAAGCAGAGGAAGAGAAAGTCAGCTGCAGCCAGGTTGAGAATGTAAATGGAGAAGGCGTTCCTGTGCATGCAGCATCCTAAGAGCCAGAGCACAACTGCRTTTCCTGCCACACCGATCAGGGCAATGATGAGTGTCAGGAAAGCCAGGATAAGATTCTTCTCATAGCAGTTTGGAAAACTGCCATTCATTGGGGTAGTTTCTGTCTCCCAGGTTGGCACGAATGTATCCATGCTCATGAATCCTCCACTGGTGCTGCTGGGAATACAAACAAGATATGAACAACTGCTGCAAGATCTCTNAGGATTAATACACAAAAATATAGAGAGAAATTAAAAACTCAACACCAAAGRGCTGGAGTTGTGGCTCAGCAGTGGAGCTCTCACTAGCACGTGCAAGACCCTGGGTTTGATTCTCAGCACCATATAAAAACAAATAAATAAAATATAACTAAAAAATAAATATTAAAAAAACTCAACACCAACGAGACAAATAACCCAAATAATAAATGGACAAATAAGCCATACAGAAATTTCTCAAAAGAAGTACAAATGGCCAAAAATTATATGAAAAGTGTTCAGATCTTTAGTCATGAAAGGAAAGAAAATCAAAGTCATATTGAGAGCTGGGTATGGTGACACATGCTTGTAATCCCAGAGGCTTGGGGATTGAGACAGGAGGACTGTGAGTTCAAAACCAACCTCGGCAATTTAGCAAGGATGTAAGGAACTCAGCCACACCCTATCTCTAAATAAAATACAAAAAAGGGCTCAGGATGTGGATCAGTGATAAGCACCCCTGGGTTCAATCCCTGCTACCAAAAAAAAAATTCACTGATATTCTGTCTCCAGTCAGAATTGTAATCATCAAGAATACAAATAACAATAAATGCTGAGGAGGATATAGGGGAAAAGGAACACTTGTACACTCTGATGTGAATATGAACTAGTAAAATCATTGTGGAAATCAGTACGGAAGTTCCTCAAAAAGCTAAAGTAGTAACTACCATATGATCCAGCTGTTTCACTCCTACCCAAAACAATTAATGATGAAATATTTCAGAGATACATGCATACTCATATTTATAGCAGCACAATTCATAATATTCAAGTCAGGGAATAAGCCTAGCTGGTGTCCATCAACACATAAACACATGATTGGATACTCTCCAAACACACACACACACACACACACACACACACACACACACACATATATATATATATATATATATATATATATATATATATATATATAATGGAGTTTTATTCAGCCACAAAGAAAATGAATTCATGTCATGTATAAGGAAATGGATAAATTGGAGAAAATTATGTTAAGTGAAATAAGCCAGACTCAGAAAAAGAAGTGCCATATGTTTTCTCTCACGTAGAAACTAGAGAGATAAAAGGGGGGGGGAACAGTATTACATGAATACAGAAAAACAGACAATTGGGGTAGGGAAAGAGGATCATGGGAAGGGAGGAAAACTGCAAATACACAGCCAGCCTAATAATAGCCACTGAGAAGCAAAGGTTTAGTGGTGGAGCATGGAGCATCAGAGCAGTGGTCCTGGATGAGCTGGAGCACATGTGGCAAGCATGAGGCCCAGTGGGACAATGCCAAGTAGTAACAGTGTGTGGACCTGTCACCCCACAGTGGACTGGCCCAGGTCAGTGCAGAGGCCCTGCTGCAGAAACCCACAAAGCACTGCAGCTCTGAACCTTAAGTGAGCATCCACCATCTGAAGACTTCAACCTTCCACTTTCTGATCCTCCTCAAGAAAATGGATGTGGGGCAGGTTCAAGTGTCAACCAATAGTTAGTACTTTTTAAACACTCATTAGCATAAGTTTTGGGACAATAGCTAGTACTTTTTCAAACCCTGGTTAGCATTAGTTTGGATGAATAGTGTTAACCCAAGTGCTATATCAACCCTAGACTAGCACACTCAGACTAACAGCAACCCCTCTTGGGTCCCCRCGTATCCTGCAGGAGTTCTGTTTCTATTTGGTTCTATCCACACTTGAATAAATCCTACACTTTCACTCACTCATCCTTGTCTGTGGATTTCGTTCTTGGAATTTACCAGACAAAACCCAGAAAGAAGGTGGCGTGAGCTGCTGGAGTCTGCTGCAACACTGAAGGGCAGATCCCACCAAAAAGAGCTACAACACATTTCATGGCTACTGAGGCCTGCAGCTTACACAGACCCCAGTCAACAGCAGAAGAGAGAAACGTGAATTTCAGAGGTACTGGAAGGAGAGATGGAATAAATTATGTTATGTGTCTAAATGAATATGCCACAATGAAACTCACTATTCTGAATAATTAATATGCAACAACAAAAAAATTAAGAAGGAAAACATAAAAGTAATATAAAAAAAGACAGGAGGAGCCCTCACAACTGATCTAATTGCACATAATTACAATCTAGAGAGAAGAAAACAATAATAATAATAATAAATTAGAGCAGAAATCATATTGAATACAATCAATATCGAAAATTTCTGAAACAAAACCTGGGTTTTTGGTGAGAACAACAAAATCAACAAGCGTCTAGTAAGGCTAAGGAATAAAAGAGATGATGCAAATGACTGATGTCAGAAATGATCATGGGTTCAAAGCCATCCTCAGGAAAAATGAGGTGCAAAGAAACTCAGTGAGACCCTGACTCTAAATCAAATACAGAATAAGTCTGGGGATTGGCTCAGTGGTAGAGTTCCCCTAAATTTAATCCCTGGACCTCTCCATCCAAAGGAAAAAAAATGCGTGGTGGGGGGTATTACTACAGATCATACAGTCATTCAAAGGCATGTAGACTAATATTAGGAATAATTCTATGGCCTCAAGTTTGATTATGTTGATAATATGTACTGATTTTTGAAAAATACATCTACTAAAACTCACACAATAAGTTAAAAATGAATAGACCTATATCTATTGAAGAAGTTGACCCCAGATTATTTTTTATTTATTTATTATATTTTAATTTATTATATAACACAGCAGAATGCATTACAATTCATATTACACATATAGAGCACAATTTTGCATATGTCCAGTTGTACACAAAGTAGAGTAACACCATTCATGTCTTCATACATGTATTTAGTTTATAAACTACCTAAGCAAAGAAGACCAGGGTCAGATGATTTTACTGATAAATTATAGAAAATAGGGAAAGAAGAAAAGACACAATATGGTGTCTTCTAGAAAATAGAATCAGAGGGAACATTTCTCACCTAATACTATGAGGCCAAAATTACCATATTATCAAAACTAGACAAGGACTTTAGTAGAAAGAACATGTAGTTTCTCACTATTAAGTATGATATTAGCTGTTCTGTTGGTCATATTTTCCTTTAAACATTTTATGATATTTGTGAAACATACTGAAAGTGATGGATATACAAATTTTAAAATGATCCTTAAAACTCAATAGGAAAATAACCAGAATAATTGCAAAATAGTGGAAATTCTCAACTATTGCCAAAGAAGAGATATGGATGGAAAAAATGGATGGGGAAAAATATGTATTGTGATATGTGTTTGAGAATTGCATTTTAAAAAATGATATCCTAGTATAAATTTTTTAGAATGACTAAAACCCAGTCACTGGCAACATTAAGTTTTGATAAAAATGTGGACAAATAGAAACTCTTACACAAAGATGGGAATACAAAATGGCACAATACTTTGGAAGATAGTCTGGAAGTTTCTATAACTACCAAATATTGACTTATCCTAAGATCCAGCAATCATGTTTCTAGGGATTTATACAAGTGAGTTGCAAACTTAGATCCACACAAAAGTCTTCATTACATTTATAGCATCTTTCATCATGTTGCAAAAACTTGGAAGCAATTAAGATGTTCTGATTATCAAATTGTGGATATCCCATACAATGAAGTTTTATTCGTCATTGAAAAGAATTGAGCTATCATTCTATAAAAACAAACAAACAAACAAACAAACACAGAAGAACCTTAAATAAATGTATATTGCTAAATGTAAAAAGTTAGTCTGAAAAGAGCTATGTACTGTGTTATTACAATTAAATAGAAATCTAGAGATAGTTAAACTATGTAATAAGAAGCTCAGTGATATCTTGAGGATTTGAGGAAAGAGAAGGAAGTTTGATGAACCATAAGACAGTTTTAGAACATTAAAATTCTATCTATGTCACTGAAATGGTAAATATATATAATTCTAATTTTATCAAAATCCACTGAAGTGTACAATGCAAGGAATGAGCCCTAGTGGTAACTATGGGTTTCAGTTTATAATAAAGTATCAGTATAGGCTCATCAATTTTAATAAATATACCACACCATTAAATTAATGAATAGYAAGAAGAACTATGTAGGTATGAAGATGAGAAGAGCAGATATAGGGAGACCCTCTATGCTTTCTGTGCTATTGTTCTGTAAACCTAAAAAGTGCTCTTAAAATTATAAAAAATAGAAAACTATCAAATAGATATATATTCATACTAAAGAACTGATATTCAGCATCTATTCTAAACTCTTGAAAATCAACCATGAAAAGTGGAAATAATAAAAAATGTAAACTTAAAACAATTATGAGTACCAATGAGTAAATAAAATGATACTCAGTTTCATAAGTTTTTAGGGAGTTGCAAATTAAAACAATAAAATGCTACTTTACACTCATTACAATGCCCAGAATTCAAAGGAATGACATGACAATACCGTGTTCATCAGGTGCATGTGCAGCATCTGAACTCCCATATTCTGCTGGNGTGCTCTTAATGCTGATAATTTCTATCCTATTGTTTCTAAACATAGTGAAATTGAACCTCTCTCTACTCCATATTGTTTTCCTGGGGATTGAGGAAATGAGATTCACCATTCCAGGTAACTTTCCCAAACTATGCACTTATTGGTAAATTCTACCTTGGTTAAACTCTTCTCATTCATTTTGGATCATCTATTTTATGTGGAGGCTCTGAGAAATTCATACTGCATCAGAATTTTCCAACACAAGTAACATGAGTGATTGGTTTCCTCACAGTACTTTAGCTTTGAAAWGCATACATCCATGTATATTGTCTCCTAAATTAGGAAAGCAGCAGATTTCTCACTCTACCAATAAATTTGAATATATTATATACCTCTACTATATCCACCTCATTGGCTCCTCTTCCCAGCAACTGATTGCAGTTTGGGGTTTCTTATGGCCAGATGATCAGGAATTCCAAGCAAAGTATAGTCACAGTTAAGCACAGAATGGGGAGAAGGTCCAACAAAAGACAACTGTTTTGGTTTGCAGCTTTCATAGCTCTCACATTCAACCTTGTCAGCCCTCAGTGCTGCCGGGAGAAACTGTCATGTGCCCTGTCTGTTCCTGCTAGAACACATCAAGCTCCTTGTATCCTCCACCTCAAGGTAAATTTATTTGATTGTGGACTAATAGAGAAAAGACACAGCTTTGGGAATAAGTTCTTATAAAAGTTTTACCTTTCTTCCATTCTTCTTATTGGAGGTGATAAGCTGATCCGTGGCAAAAGGAAGAGTCCCCTGAGTTGGTTGTCACTATAGAACAGTTCTCTGCTCTGGAGAGATGACTGTAGGGAATGAACTGGAGGCTGGTACTTCAGAAACTCTTATCAAAATTTAGATAGTCCTGTGATTTCCTGTACTAGGTCTTAAGACAAATGAGAGTGAGGATTATTTGAGTGATATTTTTCATGAAAA